GAGGCTCGAAATGCCTTTAGGGCATTTCTGGTTTGCAGTGACTGGGTTCGAACCACAGAAGCTTGAGCTTGAGGGCTTTGTTTAAGCAGGCACTTAAACAACTGAGCTACTGGGCAGGCCCCAAAAATATATATATATATTCTAAAGAGAAAAAGGAGCTAACAAAGTACAGAAGCAAAACATAAAGAGTTTTTAACTATGCTGCCCAAATCAAAGAATACCTCATACAAAAAAAACCAAAGAATACCTTATACAATATTAAAGGCACTGAGAACCCAAAGATAGCCAACCTATATGTGTTCACAAATTGGACCAAATATAAAAAGGACAAAGTCACTAGTGTGACAAAAAGCAGAACTTCACAACAATTCCCTCCACACTGCCACTACATCTTGTTCCGATTCATGATGATGATGAAGAAATGCTTCATCACCTTAACCATATTTGCAGAAGGAACGAACCTTTGCTTCACCTTTACCTACTTTCTTGGAATTAATCCTAAAGTCACTTTGTCTAAAACAGCCAACAGTGCTGCTAGAAAATGTTACAAGTGCCTTTTCAAGCACACGTGGATAAACACCAAGAAGGTCCCACCATGTCAAGACACCAGCACTGCACACGGCCGCCTACTGTGTGCCTACCCCTGTCCTGGCCACCCCTCCCGACACAGCAGAGGAGAGCACATGTGTGTGCGTGCCCACTGCAAAACAACGCCAAAGAACTGAGAAATCCGGCAGTCTAACACACTGGCGAAACCCAGAAACCCAACTTTAAAAATATGTAATAGGATTTTACCAGTCTTGAGGGGGTTTGCAAAAGTGATGTATTTATTCCAGAAATTAGAAATGAAGTCCTTTCATCTAACTCTCTGTGGCACAGCTAAAAACAGCAAAGCTAAAGATGCCAGAAGAGGGACAAGAAGTGATTTCCCCACCCCAAAATGCCATATTTAAAAAGCAGAAGGATGTTATAAGATTAGCATGAAGTAAGTGGCACCTTTAATTATATGGCCAATATTCTGAACACTTTTTATAAATTGATCTTTTGGAAGGAACAAAAAGTGACAACAAATAATATGGACAAATATGAAGTAATGAAGACATAAAGATAGCTACTTAAAAAGCACATACAGGGGTACGTGGAAAATGTAAACACTCATAAAATCAGCAGACCAAGACGATAGGCATACTAAGGTGTGAGGGAACTAGCTCGTGTACTTACTGAGCCACTTACAATTTTGGAAAAATCTTGGAGAACTGAGGAGAGATCAGAAAATTTAAAAAAGGCAAATACCAATTTTGAAACAGGATAGGAAGTGAATGGCATGAGAATACCTTTTATTAAGTGACAACAGTTCTCAGTAAAAAAAAGATCAGACAATTTTTGAGAAAAGCATTTGAACTTCTAAGGGGCCAATAAAATGATGAGTAACATGAAGAAGGATATAAAAAATCATGCCAAATTTGAATCCTTCTGATCCTCAATCTCATCAAATGTTAGACTTGAGCTTAGATAGTAGTCATAGAAACGGGAAATTTGTACAATGAACTATGTTCCCGCAAGGGTATTTCAATGCAGCGTCACTAGGGAGAAAGCTGAGGTTCATTTTAAAGTATGCACTACTGATCTACAAAAGTAAAAAGCAAGACTGTAAACTGAGAACTGACATTAACAATGAGTTTATTAAAACATTCACATATTAAATATGTAGACTCCAAAAATACAACTTGGAAAACAATAAACAAATGCATTAAAGTGAAATGATTTAAGAGATAATTTAAAGGAAAGGACAGAGTAATAACTAAAGAATGATATAAGAAAATAATGAGAATAGCCTAACTATTTCTTAATCTAGCATTGTCCTAAACACATACAAGTTAAAAATAAAAACAAATGAAAGCATTATGAGTCATTCTAATCAGATCATACATAAAATGGTGCTTGAAGTATTGGTCTTCCAGTTTCATAAAGATACAAATAGGTCATAAAGAATTGCAAACACTGAAATGATGGTTTACTTTATAAGAAAAACCAAATCAGGAAAACATAAATGGCTGTAACAAAAAAAGTTAGAATATGAATTTGGCAGAGGAAATTATGCACACTGGAGAGATTAAAGGGCAATGTAGGCTGGCTGGCAACACAGGAAGTGCTGGGAACCTCCAAACAGTACACCCCAAGGGATAGGAAGCGCTGAAGACCTCGATATAAACGCATCATTCCTAAGAAAACTACTGGACTTCCAGTCATACAGCCACCTTGCTTGGAGAGAAATGTTTTTGCCTGGTGCAATTTCCCTTTTTGACTAGAGCTAGCACTCTCTACCATGATGAGAGCTTGTAAAACCAAGAAAGGTCGCTCACCAGCTCTCTTACAATTCAGAAAAGCGACAGCATGCAGTTTTGTTTCGGTACTAGGAATTGAAGGCTGGACCTCGTGCTTGCCAGGCAGGCTCTGTGCCACTGACTAAATCCCCAGCCCAGCATGCAGTTATGAAAATTCAATGAACCAAACAATCTTCACCTTTAACATAGAAAATCAAGAGAGGTTAAGTCATATATTCACAACAGTGCATTCTTAGGTACACTGCATTTTGTAAGGAAATAATAAAGCATGGAAATTCAGACAAGTACAAATCTTTACATTTAGCTTCCTCTGGCCTTCACACGAAGCAGTGACAAGGATAAGCACCAGGCTTCACCTTGGGAAGGTTCATGGGTGTCCTCAGCCGGGTCCGGACACTCTTCATTAATATCCGCTGCTCTGTTGGCAGCAAGTGATACTTCATAGCTTCAATGAGGTAATCTTTGCAAGCACTGCTATTCTTGACCAACGCTTCTTCTTCAACCCTCTGTAAGAAGAGGGCAGATACATTCAATGCAGGGGAAACTATTCCATCATAAAAATGCCAAAGAAACAGAAGCAAAAGAAGAAACAAGCAGTGACTATCCTCTAGATCAAGCTTTACTTGTCCTCAGGCATCTGGCCTACAGAGAAAACTACAGTATCTGAATACTAATGAGAAGAACTGAAATGCAAATTATAAGCTTCAATGAAGCTACAGACTATGGAGAGCCCTTTAGATATTATACCTTCTTTTCAATGTTAAACTCCAAGTTAGTTTTAAAAATTAACAAAATTTAGACAATCCTTCAAATGAGAGAAGCATTACTAGGTTGATGTTTTTCAAACACAAAAATAGAAGATAAAATATCTGAAAAAAGATTAAAAATACTTTAAAACAATCTGCCCATTTCATAAGAATATATTGTCCTGCCTATTTTAGACCTCAAATATAGGACAGAATTTTTGTTCATTATTTTTCCTAACACCAGGGGCCTAATGATCATATTAAATAATGAGGTGTCAAGAAATCCTAAATAGCTCAGTCTGTTTGGTGGTCAGAACTGCTTGGGGATTAATCCAGGATCTCACAACGACCTATAGCCTAAGGGTACCAGGGGTCAAACTCAGGATACAGTATGCTTACCAGGCAGGAAAAAAAATTTTTTTGTTAACTGTTTTTGTTTTTTAAAAGGGTCCTACTCAGTTGCTCTGGGTGGCCTCAAACTCACAATCCTCCAGCCTTAACCTCCCAAAGGGCTGAGATCACAGGCATGCACCACTGTCCCTGACTCGGATCTGGTTTCAATCACAGCAGCAATGCTGAAATGTTCGTGGAAGGATCATAAGCAAAAAGGGCACATTTTAAACTGCTTGGAACTAATAAAGAACCACTTACTTCTCAACCTTTTTTTTTTTAGTTTAAATATAAAGAAACCAAATACAATTCATTGTGACATTATTTTTTTGGTTGAATTTTTTTTTAGGGAAGGTTTACTTTTTGTTTTTGGAGCCAAGGAACGAACACAGGGCTTCCAGCTTACTAGGCAAGCATTCTACCACTGAGCCAAATGCCCAGCCCCCATTGTGACATTATTAAGTAGAATTAAATAGCATTTGGGACAAAAAGATTTTGTTTTCTGTTCTTTTTTTCCTTGTACTGGGGATTGAGCTCAGGGTCTTGCGGACACTGGGCAAATGCTGTAGCTACAGTTTATTTAGAGGCAGGGTACTGCTACTTTTTCCAGGCTGGCCTCCTCAGCAGCTGGGGTGACAGGTGTGAGCCACCAAGCCCTTCTCTAAATTATTAAGTTTTGTTGTTCTACTTTTGTGGTACTAGGACTGACCCTGGGCTTCACCTCTGGCTAGCCAACCATGCTACCTCTGATCCATGTCCCCAGCCCACTGGATGTTTTCTGTTTTCTGTTGTTCTTTTTTTGCTCTGTAGTACATGAGATTAGACCCTGAACCTTGTGCACATTAGGCAAGAAGGTGACCTGTGAGCCACAGCGCCAGGCCCTGAGTCAAACTCTGAAATTCCCACCCTCCTAGGGACTCCAAAGAGGCTCTCAAAAGAAACAGCAAAGATGTGGAACTCTGACTGGAGCTACAGGCACACTGAACAGCCACCAACACACCCTGCAGCACTCCAGTGCAGCATTCACTTGTCCCAATCATGACTATGGGTGCAAGCGAAGCCTAAGACTGGAGAATGGTCTGCCAGGGAGCAGCTGCCAGGGACCACCGGTGCCGTGCTCCCTACCCTCCTTCCTGCCCTCCATGGCTGTGAACTGTGCGGCTCCTCACTCCCTGCGACGGGGATCCACGCACTGCCAGACAGGGCGCTGCGCTGCATGTCTGCACGTCCTGTGCACACTTACCTGAACTAAATACTCCCGAGGAAGCAGAGGCAAGCGGACATGCTCCATCAGCCGGGCCATGAACTCTTGCCGCACGTCCTTGTCATGGTTCACCCATGCTATCACTGCTTCAAATACCTTGCAAAAATACGAAGAGAGGGAGGATAACTCATGAGCTATGTGCAAAGCATCTAGATAAGGCAACTCGTGACCCTTGCACACATACTCAGATCTAATCTAGGCTTCAGAGCTTTTCAAAGTCCTGACTTGCAACACCTTTAGAAATCCATTTGCGTGAAATAAACCCGACCCACATGTGTAAACACTGTATTGTCTCACTAGTATGAGAAACTTAATATGTAAATAAAATCCAAAATGCACAACACATATTGTGAACAGTGAAGAAACTGTTCAAAAGAAACAACAAACTGTGATGGGGAAAAGGGAAAGGAAGAAAGGGTAAAAGAAAAATATATTTATACACAAGACAGTTAAGATAATTATACAGCCAGTATCTTAGTTCACTGAAAAGAAAGGTTTGTGCTAGTATTGTTTGGAAAAGATTTCATGCCTATATTATGTACTTTGAAGAGCTACTATGAAGACAATAATATGCAATGCATTGATTATTATAACTTTCCTATTAACCTGTTTTGAAACTGTTTTATTGCTATTTTTATTTTTTCTCTTTAAAATAAAAAAAGCCAACTGTTCCATTTCTTTCTCTTGTTTTACATGTGGAATTTAGTAAGGACTTTTGTATGCTTAAGAAGTACTTTTCATTTTACATGTGCTAAGCATTTTATCAACTACATTATTTACTTCTACTCAACATGAACAGTAGCTATAATACAGTAATATATGGTCTGTTTTGCTGCCTTTCTGAGTTGAATCTAGTTCACTTACACAGGTTTAAATCTCAAATTCTTTATGAATAAAAATCACTCAGAATAATAAGCAGAGTACTGGCTGAGGGAGATAGCTCAGTGGTCAAACTGCCTGCCAGGCAAGCACAAAGACCCAAATTCAATCCCTGGTACTACATGTTGTGCCAGTCCCAGAACCCTGGGCACACCACACCAGCCATGGAAACTGAGCGTGGTGGCACATGCCTGTAATCCCAGCACTGGGAGGCTGAGACAAGAGGATCACAAAAGTCTGAGCTGCGTAGTAAGATCCTGTACCAAATAAATAAAAGATTAAAAAAAAAATTTAATAATGTAGAATAATACTGTTTAGTGCAAATCATGAGCTCTTACAAATTTTGAACTTTTCTGTAGGTCTGCAAATGTTGGGCCATACACACATAAATCAAAGGTCTAGAGAACTGGTCAACTCTGCTCCGTCCCAAAATGTAGTATTTTGAGTTTATTTGCAAACTAAATAAAAGGCATTACTGCTTATAAGATATCTCTAAAAGAAAGCTAATAAGCCAGTATGAAGACAGTGTTTTTCTAAACAATTTCCCTTAGACTGATGAATGTGTTATCTGATGATCTTTAAAAGGTTGTAGAATATGTATGAGAATATGCAAATAGATTATTGGGAACAAAAATAGGTTACTTTGATATAGTAGTAAAAGCAAGAAACTAAAAATAATGCACATTATAATCATCATGCCTCTCTAATTCTGTCACCAAGTATTCCAAGTACCAGCTGGTAGATTACAAAGAAGTCAACAGACAATCTACTCTGTCCCTCGATCCGCCATTTCTCAGTTCTGTCCTCTCCCCATCCCCGCACTGTTTTCCAACCAGGGCCATGTTCACTCCACTGGCTTCCTGGGCTAGCGTGAAAGCCAGTCTCCACTGGTCATCTACATAATCACACTTCACACCACCTACGCCCTTATTCGTTATCTCCACCCCGAGCCTTAGCTGCCCCTGCAACCAGCACAGCGCCACAGAGTGATGGCTAAAGCTGGGATGCAGGCGCCTTCCAGCTTTCATCTGAGGCTCTCGAGATGCTTCTCTGGGCAAGCCAATGTCATTCACGTAAAAAGTCTGACTACTGAAACCAGTATGCTATGAAAACCCAAAGAAGTTATGGGAAGGAAGGAGAGAGATGGAATATGGAGAAAGAAGAAAAACAAGCCCTCAGGAGTCACAGGACTCAGAGGAGCAGCAGCCTTGGACATTCCAGACCAACAAGATGCCAAACACAGAACTGAAGCCCACAAGTAGGGTTAGGGTTCCCAGAACCAGGGCGGATATCCTCAGGCACTTGGGCCCTCCAGCTGAAGCCTCAGAGGCCATGGAGCAGAAACACCCATACCGCGTCCGCACAAAAGCAGACTGTAACACTGTGGGCTTACTGGCAAGGTACTGTTACATTCTGGGTAGCTGCTAGGCAGCAGGGAAAACCAGAGCAGCCCTCCTGATACTTCTCTAATGTAGGCTTATGGTATTCTCTCCTTGCTTAAAACCCCTAAAATGCAATAAAGTTAATCACTGCAATAAGTTTACTTTTGTTTAACACAGCTGAGAAGGTATCTGATGATGTCATCTTCCCATTTCATCTCCTGCCATTCTGTCAAACGTACTCTAAATTTCAATCATATGTAAGCAAGTTGAATACAATTATTACATAATTTTTAAAAAAAAATTTGGAGGAACTAGGTATTGAATGCCAAGAGCACTGAGCTACATTCCCACTCACCCCTTTTAAAAGACAGGATCTTGCTGAATTGCCCGGGCTGGCCTTGGTCTCCCAGGCCTGAGGAGCCGAGGTTCCAGGTGCACACCACTGCCAAGGGCTCCGCCACCTCTCCCTGGAATGCTGCCACCTAGCTCTCTTACAAATTCAAGCTCTTTCTTTGTGGGGCTAGGGACTAAAACAGGGACCTTCCCACTGACTGATGGCCCCATCCCTTATTTTTTATTTTGAGACAGGGTCTTGCTAAGAGACTTACCCAAACTGAGCTTGTCTTGCCATCCTGCATCAGGCTCCCAGAGAACTTAGAATACAGGTGTGTGCCACCACGTGCAGTTTCAAACTTAAAGACTTGACTCATACATATGAACCAAGCTCAACTACCGTCCCCAGCAAAATTAAATGCTTTTATGATACTTTTTACAGTATTTTTTTCTTTTTTGTTTCTGAGACAGAATTTCCCTCTGTAATCTAAACTGGTCAACTCATGATCTGCCTACCTCAGTCTCTCCTAAGTGCTGAGATTACAGCCATGTTCCACCACATCCAGTTTCCTTTACAGCATTCTGTGTACTCCATTTATTCCACCAGTATACATAGAAGTAAGCAAGTCTATTTGTTAATCTTCTCATGTGTCGGACCTCAGGATGTCGGCACGAGGCAGTGTGCATATACTGAGTGTAAGTGGTCATGCCGTCCTCCTGTGCTCTAATGTGCTAACCTCACACATCTCACAGATGGTTTCATGTAGTTTTTCATACTGTACCCATCATGGTGAGATGTCTTTTTATTCCCAGGTGTAATGACTGTCCTGAGAAACACATTTAGTTTACACAGCCTTAAATGCAAACTACATCAAAGAGAAACTCGAGTTTCACTTCTCATACACATGGTGCTTTGTGTCCTAATTCTCCTGCACTACAATCTGCGCTCCCAAAAAATAACCAGAACTTAAAAGAAGCTTCTTTCTCCAACTACATGAAAGGTACAGGAAGATGATGAAGGCAGACCAAAATGTGAAGAGACAGCTGGGGGTGCGGGGCAAGGCCAGGAGAGAGAGGATGCACACCCACTGGTGGGGTAAGGCCCAGGTCTCGGGAAACTAAGCTGAATGAAGATGACAACCAAAGACATTCAGTCTAGACCTGGCAGAACTCTGCCCCCTGGGAAGCTGCTTTCCCCTCACAAGAGACTGGAATTGTACTAGTGAAAGTGACTCTTTAAGTCAGAGTCATATGCATTTAACTGTAGGAAGAAACTCACTTCCCAAAAGGAACTGATTTCAGAAAATTTAATGTGTGCAAGCTCTTGATGTAGAAGCAAGGTATAAAATTCTATGCCTAGCAGTGTGGGGAACTTCCCAAGAAGTGGACTTATATAACCAACAATCAACTAGCTGTGCTTCTTAACTTTCAGGTCCAAGATCACTGGCTGTCACTACACAACAGGATCATACATTTATAAAATAGACTGAAATAAAGGAGGCAAAAGACAGTGTCACTGCATAATGGGAAATGCACCAGACACTTACCTTCTCTTCTGAGGAAATGGTAAGTTTGTCACTGGAGATTAAGCTGCACACTTGTTCAATGCCAAGGTTGAGAAATTCTTCACTAAGTACAACATCAGCAAAGTGTTGCTCTATTTGGGAATTAGACAGAGAATTTGTTAACATCCAGAGCTTGCTATCACAGTTGCAAATTGCTGCAAAAGGAATGCTTCTTAACTAAATCTGAGAATAAGAACAGTAGCTGCACTTCCCCTAAGCAAGAACTCACCTCAACAAACTCAGAGGGGCCAGGGGTGAGGGTCCCCAGGGATCTGCTGACACTGCAAGGACGCAACAGGCAGGAAGGCTGTGGAGAGGGACTGTCACTCAGGGAATCACTGCTGTATGACCTGGTATATTTTATTCCTCACATGGTAAAGACCCAACCAGTGTTTATAAAATCCTTTGATCAAAGAACTGTGTCTTGTAAAGAATAAGGTTTCAATAATTTAGTGCTTATTAGTATCATGATCCCTAAGTTCTAAACTAAAAATCTGCTAGAAAAGGCAGGTTTCTCAAGCCAACATTTTGGTCCTAGCCTTCCAAGGTCAATTAAGATTCAGATATATGAGAACCTGTATTGCAACATCATGTAACTTATTTGTGTCCCTAATTTTCTGATCAAGGAGATTATGGGGCCAAAGAGGAAAGCAATCAACGATGTAGAGTGTGCCTAAGGGGAGTCACATGGAGATAAAACATTTTCTCAGGCTTTCACAGAGAGCACATTGGCCAAGCAATGGCCGAGATTCATCCACCTGGCTGCCACTGACAAAGGATCTACAATCTCAGATACAGGGTCTCAGGATAAATCCTGAGGGGATTTGACTGACCTTATCAGATACAAAAGCTACAACTCTTGTTGCATAGGTCTTGCTTTATCTTGGTCTTAACCATCCGGCAGAAAAATATAAAAATGAAGCATAAGAAGTAAAGCCATGGTGTTATGTTGAGCTGTAGGGGACTCAGGTCAACAATTTCTGACATTGCCAGTCAAGCAGAAGACCCAATACTATTATGGACTCCTGGACTATTTTGGAATATTTTGCTGAGTTCATACACCTATAATATTTAAATGATGGAACTAAACAAAAAAAGGAGATATACATGAATGTCCATTTTGTATCTGTGTATTCAAAATGGTTAGGATAGATATATAATTACATTCTCTTAATTCAAGGAATAGAGGGATTTGTTCTAATAGTGTTTGTAAACAGGATATCATGTCTGCATCTTGTACAACAAACAGCCACTAGGAAGACAGTATGCAATGTGTTAATTATTGGAACTGTCCTACCAATTTGAAATTGTCTCATTGCTATTTCTCAATAAAATTATGAAAAAAAAAAGAAGTGGAAGTATCGTAATGGACACTGTGGATCAGAGATGGAAAAATTCACAGTGGATGTCTATGCACTCAGAAGGTGGAGGACTGAGTAGCTGTGGATAGTTGAAGACATGGAAGCTTATGGTTGAAGACATGGAGTCACTGGTGTGAGTCTGTGCGAGAAGGCCAAGGAGACTGCCCTGGAGGGCTGGAAAGCTAAGGAAACTGGAGACCAATGTTCAGAGCAAGTGGAGAACACCAGCGCTCACCACTAAAGTGGCACACTTTCTTCTTCTTTCCCTTTTTATTCAGGCCAGGCTATAAGCCCATTGGTTTGTGCATCCACATTCAAGATGGGTCTTTCCCTTCCAATCTGCTGGCCTACATATCGCCCCACAGATACACCTAGAACTTCACTAATCTGCTAGGCAGTTCTTACTGAAGCCTAGTTACCCTGTCACAATTAATGATCATACCACAACAGGAGGGAATTTAAAAAAAAAATTAAAAAAGAAGAAACTGTCCTACCAATTCAATTTGAAACTGTCTCATTGCTATTTGTTTCTCAATAAAATTATTGAAAAAAAAAAGAAAGAAAAGGTAGGTTTCTTATTGGTCTTCATAATTAACCACATTAAACAGTGGTTCTTAAAAAGACTTTTCTGAGGTGAAATAAACAATTCATTTCAAATAGGTACTTCAAAATACCATAAAAATTATTAGTTGGTTTCCTCTTCAGAACAATTGAGCAATACAATCTGTATTACCACAAATGTTACTACTCACTTTACAAAAGGTTCATTAAACCTTTAAAAATAATCAGTGCCAGGCTAAGTACTAAATGACTAGACTCACAAAAAAATCCAACATATCTATCTATCTATCTATCTATCTATTCTATCTATCTATCTATTTTTTTTTGACACTTGAAGTTTTGGATAAACAAACATGGCAGTGAAATAAATATAAAAATGAAGACAAAATGAGAAATAATGAAAAGGAAAAATAAATGGAACATTTTTGTTGTTATTCGAAAGTATGTAGAACAGGTGAAAGTATGAAGAAAGGGGTTCAGGGTTCATCATATTGTCTCAGCAATGAGAAAACTAAGACAAGAAATGCTCAGGTATGTAGACACATATTTTTAAATTATTTCCAAAGTCAGGCTTTCTATATGAATAAGACTTCCTTCTCTGAAAACTCTTCTTCCTTCGCCCCCTCCCCCACATTAGAGGTTGAATCCAGAACCTTCATATTGAGCTACAACCCAACCATTCTTATTTTTATGTTAAGACAGGGTCTCACTAAACCACTAAGCTGCCTAGGTTGGGCTTGAACTGATAGTACTCCTGACTCAGCCTCTCAATACTGAAATTATAGGCATGTGACACCATGCCCAGCTGCTCTGTTGAAAAATCTTTGGTACAGTATCTAACATTTACACCCTGTACTGGGTTTTTTTTGGAAAAAGTAGTGAAGTGTTACTGAATATGTGATGTGTCACTAAATATGGAGGGCATCACGTGGCAACATCTGGTAGTAGTTTACTGATGGCCTTCCCTCCCCTCCCCTCCCTTCCCCTTCCCTCCCTTCTCTTCCCTTCCCTTACTAACTGTGCATGATGCGCTGGACTCAGCGGTAAGGACTCTAACAGGACTGTTACCTGGAGCACGCTTCCCAGGGACCAGCATGCCAGGCAGCAAGGAAGCACCAGGAACCTGGTGGAGCCATGCTAAGGCCCGTGCACAGACACACAATGACACGCTGAAGTCTGGCTCTGCAGTTTTGTCCTGGGACTAATCTTGATTTAATGTTATCTAAAGAGTATCTATGGCTAAAGCAAGATTCCAAACTCGTGGTTTATGAGGCTTGACCTCCATCCCACAAAGCCCCGCAGTCAGCCACCTACAGGCTGCCAGCACTAGCACTGCCCCACCCTCACCATCTGCACAATGGCCGAGGGCTGACATTGCCAACGGGATCCATGATACCTGGGCTTATAGCTGCCCTCTCCTCCTGATAACCAGGCCTGTCCTGTGTGATCCTGTGAACTCTCACTCAGCAGCAAACCAAAAACACTAAAAAATAGGATCTAAACTTTCTACAGTACATGTTCCAAAGCAACTATCATTTTTTTTCTTCTTTATAACCCCTGTACTAGAAGTGGAAAAAAAATTCAGTGAAAAATAGTTTATTGATTTAAGCACCTGCTAAGTGCCACTGGAAATTGAGATTAGAGGGTGAATTATTAGCTAATGAAAGATTTCTAAAGAACCACCAAATGCATATTTAAGCAATATAGTAATTACAGCATATCTAAATAATATACTAGCAAGCTCTTCCATAAATAGGATGTGCGCACATTACTATCTTCCCAACAACAGCTCCCTTTATGCCCATATCACAATCTTGCTTTTGTGTCACACCATCCGGCTTTTGGATTCTGGGCTAGAATGGGACACTACGAAAATTCCAGACCTGTGGTCCACAGTGAGACTCATGATCAAGAGAAAGCATTACATGATAGTGTACACACACCTACACACAAAGACAAGGAATCTTTGCATGCCAGTGTACATTGTAGTATACACACACCCACATGCAAAGACACAGGCATCTTCACATGAACCTCTTTGCCATGGTTTATACAATGTAGGTTCAGGCCTCAGAATGATTTGTGATAAGAAAGGAAAATACTATCCTTCAGGGGAAGAGAAGTTGTACAGTTATTAAGGAAACAAAATCCAAAACACATCTCTGAAGAGAGCCACTTGCTTATATCTCTCATCCTGCTTTTTTTTTTTTTTTTTTTTTTTAATGTATTTGGTTGTTGCAGTCTTGTTACACAGCTCCAGGGCAAGAGAAGTTGTATAGCTATTAAGGAAATAAAATCCAGATTCGACCCAGAGCCTAGGGCCAGCGTGTGAGTGAGACAACCTAGGGCCCGATGGATCCTGATTGGACCCAGAGCCACACCCGGCATGTGAGTGAGACGACCCAGTGCCCGGTGGACCCTGATTTGACCCAAAGCCCAGGCCCAGCATGGAACCTGCAGCAGAACTCCCTGCAAAGAGGCTAGAGGCAAGACCCATCCAGCTGATTCAGGAGAACATCTTGCCAGAGTGGCACAGAGGGTTCAACTCCAAGGGCTGCAACAGGAAGAAGTGGAGCACAGCAGCCAGACCCAAGCCACACCCACTTGGATGAATTTGAACTTGGTAGATCCAGACCTGGTGTTAAGGTAATAACTCTATCTAAACTCTACACCAAAGTTTAGAAGACAGTGCTGTATATGGGTACTGGACTCTTTTAGAATATTTTGCTGAGTTTACGCACCTATAATATTCAGATAACGAAACTTAACAAAAAAAGGGGATACAGATGAATGTCCATTTTGTATCTGTATATTCAAAATGGTTGGGATAGATATATAGTTACATTCCCTTAATGAATAGAGGGATTTGTTCTAATGGTGTTTGTAAATAGGATATCATGTCTGCATCTTGTACAGCAATGAACCACTAGGAAGAATGTATGCAATGCGTTAATTATTGAAACTGTCCTACCAATTTGGTTTGAAACTGTGTCATTGCTATTTGTTTCTCAATAAAATTATGGGGGGAAAAAAGATTAAAAAAAAAAAAGAAGACAGTGCTGTAGAAAATAACAAAGAGAAGGAACAAAATGCAGTCTCAGACCCCAAGTCTACCCAGAACAAATGCAGAAGGCACATTGGAAATCACACACCTGAAATCTCTGAAATAA